AGAGCGCTTAGCGTTACCCAGCACCCACCACGAGGAGGTGGCCCTTCACGGGTGCCTTCAAATCAAGAACGTCCATGTGCTATGGGGAGGTTTGATGGTGATCAGTCTGTGTTCGCTGTTGCAAGAGCCTTTAATTGCCCACAGCAAACAATTTTTAATTTTAGGATGTGAGTGCATCAAACCTTAACTGTTGCCGACCGCCCGAGGCCGGGAATTTCACGTGTGACGTCAGTCAAGCAATACGATTATGTAATCTTTGGAACAGATATGTTACTGCAACTTCCACAAGTAGGGAGATGTTTCTTGGAAGAATAACTGCACAAACTGTCAGAAATCGCTTGCCTGCTGCTGACCTCTTTATCGCTGCAACCGACTGGTGAGGGCCACAAGACACATTTTCAATCAAGACAGTGGAATTCGGTTGTATTCAGCGACGAATCTCGATTTACTCTGAGAAGCAAACGTCATGCTCAAGTCTGCGTAGGTGAAGTGGACAGATTTGGTGACGAGAACGTAATTGTATGGAGTTCGTTTTGCGCATACGGGCGTTTCCCCTTTGTTGTCCTTCGAGGGAAATTAAATGCCGCCCAGTACAGGGATCAGGTTTTGCAACATATCTTGCTTCCATATAGGCAGAGACAAGGCTCTGAACTGACATTCCAACAACACAACATACTGCAATTGTTACACAGAATTATCTGTGAAGTGCCGGTATACAAGTTCTGGATTGGCCGTCGCATCATCTCATTCCTATCAAACACATTTGGGATGTGCTGGGTCAACGTGTTCGCCAGCAAGTCAACCCACCACAGACGTTGCAAGATCTTCAACGTCACCTTGTTGGGCAATGGCGACGTCTTCAGGGTGTGTTTACTAACGTTCCAAGATCCATGAGGAGACGTTGCTTGACTGTAAGAGACGCTAGAGGAGGCCACAACCCTTACTTAAGACCTCAATCGAATTGTTCTCCACGTTGTGGATTTCATTTTGGAGGGTACCTTGACATCATGAACGTTATCGTTGTTAAAGAGTTCCGGCAAGACTTTGTTTTGGTAATCCTTTGATGTCGAGATGTTCTGTGCACAGCATACAACTAAAATTGTTGCTTTAAACCGAATATTAAAATCCTAGTAAAAAAAATCCTGTGTCAGGTTTTCAGTTTTGCACAGTATATGTAAAAGCCGCAATTATGGCGGTTGTGAAAATAGTGCTTCCCACTCCATCCGCTCTACACCCTGCAGCTTAAGGAATTCCTGACATTGTCGTCTGGCAGTAAATAGGGTAGGCCATAAATGCCATGCATAGCTTGCGGGAATGGTACTGCTATAGGAACCAGAATCTCGTCCCGATAACGCTGTCCGACCACGCTCAGTGGAGTACGTCATGTAGGACTTATCCCTGCCTAAACCACGACAGACCCTCGTCAAATCGGTTATACGTGGCCACAATTGCATATGTGATTCGTTCTACATTGCGACAATAAATCCTCTGCCGACCATCATGGAAGGACAAATTGAATCTGCTTTCATCTGTGAAGAGCACACCATTGGCGTTGATTCTAGTGGCCATGATGTCTACTCCATCTCAAACGCGCCTGCCTGTGACTTGGTGTAAATGGTGGACGAACTGCAGGTCGCCTACAGCGGAATCCGCCTGCCCATACATTGACGAACGGTGCTCCTGGATATCTTTACATTGCTACCATTGAAGTGTTCTGAAGATCTGCTGTGTTAAGAAATCTGTTACGTGTAACGCCTATCATCTCGGACTGTTGTGACTCTGGGGCGACCTGGTCGACGTGCATATTCCACGGACCCATTGGTTTGAAATCTCTGCCACAGTCAACCAACAGCACTCTGACTCACATTAAAGCGGACAGCAACCTGCAGCTGAGTTTGACAAGATTCCAAAAGGCCTGTAACCTGACCCTTTCAGCAAGTGTCAAAAACGTCTCATTTTAAGCTGCGATTTCAAGCAGGTACCTGAACAGTGAAAGACAGTGAGAAACATCAATACATGTGTATTGTCCTCCACTTTCTATGGATAGAGTACCCGTGAAGGTCCAGGTTAGAATATTGGCCTTCAGTAACCTATGCTTGTCGTAAGAGGCGACTAACGGGATTGGGTGGTCAGGCTCGCTGACTTGCTTGACACATGTCATCGGTTCCCAATTCATGCTCATGCTGTTGACCACTGGATTGTCTGTTCCAGACTTGATTAAACTTGAATGCGGCGTAAAACTATACTCATTCACTCATTCACTCTTATTATGATATTGATTTAGAGATGAATAAAAACAAAATAAACTACATGTAGTTGGAATCAATCAATCTTTATTTTCTTTGTAGTGGAGGCCATAGGCCCAGGGTACACTTCAGGATTTCAGAGCGGTACATATATGCATCTATAGTTCACAAGACAATAAGTTAATTTACAAAGTATACAAAAGGAAACATGATACTATTGGCATAGAAGTGAATCTCTAAGTTCCATTGCATTGTGTATATAAATAGCTAGTTTTTACAGTATATGGATTGCCAGTTGACATGAGAATATTAAACTTATGAATAAAAGTTATGTAGTAAATACAAACATCTCAGATTTTGATAACATTTACATACCAAAATACAATGAAATTCATCAATAAAGTTATCTTTACATACAAAACATAATCTATTTGATCTGGGTTGATTAATATATCGACCGGTTTCAATTTGGAGGCGGTGTGAAGAACATCTGAATTTAGCAAGGGCCGATCGAAATTTTGAAATTAATAAATCTTTTATGTAAAATTCAACATTAAATGAGATTTTAAAACAAGAATAAAGTGAAAATTTAGGACTATTTACAAGCGATGTGTGCCACTCTTGTTCATAACTTGCTTTTCTGATATGAATTTATCAACATTACATAAATTTTGCTGCTGTTCCCACATAAAGCGTTTGTATTCCAGGTCTCACACATGCTAATTACATCGAATGTTTCAGCATAGCTCACAAAGTCAGCATCCAATGATTTAGAAGTGAGTCCGTTGACATTCCAAAATAAAAATGAGTGATTATTGATGGTATGGACACTAACATCTGGGCCCTGGCCACACCCCTATCTCCTCCTCTCCCGCTTGTCTCTAGAGCGTAGATTGGGTCCAGCCTTCTTGTTGCTTGATATAAGGGGCTCTGGGTCGGGCCTAGCAGCAAACGACGCATCTGGCTGAGTGGGGGTGGTATCTGTATTCTGCCTCTCGGTCACAAACAGTTTACCATTTTTGAAATAGCCAAGTTTGTTCTCAGCTTTCAAATCGTTGAGCTTCTGTCGTTGATATTTCGTGAGGTCTGAGGAAATCCCGTATCTGTCCTCTTTAAGTCTCTCAGTTTTAAGGCTCACACTTTATCCTCTGGGTAGAGAATTTTGACTATCATGGGTCTTGGTTGGCCTGGCTTCCCCTTTAACCTGTGTGCGGCAACGATACAGTCGCTAGTGATATCATTATCACCGTCTGTGTGTCAAAGTGTCACATACATATTTCTTACACACAGAGACTGTCTCTCTTGCTTTTTCAGGTAGACCATACAGAATGACGTTGCAGCGTCTACTGTATTGTTCTTGTTTCTCGAGCATATCCTCTATACTGTCTAGTTTATCAGTAAACATGGTTATATTGTCGTTGCTTGGAGACATCTCTAAGCGATCTAACCTATCTGCAACTTCGTCAACATCAGCACGTAGAATTCCCTGTCTGCATCTTAGATCTGCCAGCTCAGAGCTTATGTTATCTAGCGAGTTACTCATCTTCCCCAGGTCTCTGATTTCCGAGGTGATATCCTGTTTTATCGTTTTAAATGCTGATAGTATTTCAGGTCCTGGGTTAAGTTCGATGTCACTAGATAGTATGGGAAGAGCACTTCGGTATATCAGAGTGAGAGTAGTGTTTACCATTTCGTCGTTAGATGCGAGATGCGAAATCCTCCATGAATATCCATTAAAAAAATTAATCTCAATATCCTGATAGAGCTGTGTGAGTATACAGCCTACTATGACAATACAGAAGATCACAAACGTCACACTAACAATCCGGTTGCTTGTGTCCATCTGCCATCGAGATACCCATATTCTCAGATTCAGTATTACCTTGTGCGCAGGGCTTGACATGACCAACCGATTGATAGAACAGGCCCATTCTGGGCCTGAAGTATTCCTCGCTCCTCATCCACCAGAATCTTTTCCTCCACGGGCGCAATTCACAGCAATTCACAGGTTGCCCGATTTGGTTATCTCTTGAGGCCAGCAATCAAGGATCCACACAATCTTTTCTCCACGGGCGCAATTCAAAAGTTATCTCTTGAGGCCAGCATTGTCTGGCACTCACCACGACCTGGCTGCTCTTCATGAGTGCCGAAAACCTATAGACATGACCATTTCTCCTTTGTACTTGATTCCTAAGCTCCATAAAGTCTGTGCACAGAGAAAGTGAGTGAGTGAGTATTGCTTTTAGCAATATTCCAGCAATATTGCGGCGGGGGACACCAGAAATGGGCTTCACACACTGTACCCATGTGGGGAATCGAACCCGGGTCTTCGGCGTGATGAGCGAACGCTTTAACCACTAGGCTACCCCACCGCCCACACACAGAAAGAAATTGCAGGGTTCAGCAAAAGCAACACCAAAGCCCTGTCTCAAAGAATTAACCATTAAACCTTCTTTCAAGAGGGAGTTTCTGTCACATTCACAGAAGCTACTTGAGACAACTTGAATTATCAAACCTTCAAAGATTAGCCTACTTTTTGTAAACTAAAAAAATCAAATTGATTCTGCCAAAAGATTAGTTTTTTTAGCTCTCACATAACAAATTTCAGGAAAATTCTGTGACACATGGGGCTTTTGTTTCTAAACGTGATGACCGCAGTTAGTAACCACTCTTGACTTCAGATGTTCATGATAATTTGTCAAACATATAGGATAAGAACTTCTGAAGTTCACTGACCCTATGTTCCTGCTTCAGATCTGTCTACTCGTCAACAATCTCGGTTTTTGATGTGGAAGACACGGACCTGTCAAAGTTTGAAAATTTGGTTAATGAAACGTACAGTTATCCGTTCAAACCCTCTGGCCGACAATGGGAATTTCTCAAAGGTATATAGTGTTCATGCATTATACTTTTTACAGTCATGGTAGATATTTTCATTTATGTTAATGTAAGGCTTTTATGGACAATGTTGTTCATAACGCTTAAACTTTTCTTTCAGTCATCCCTTAATTCTCTCCAGTGATAGATTAAAGTGGAATACCTAAATGCTTGTTTTTGCAGGCACTCAACACAGGTCACATGGTACAAAGAATCAAACAGTAAGTCCAAAATTAATATATTCATGTTTGTTGATCATTCATTTATTTGTAAATGAATCTACAGGATGCGTACTGGATGATTGTACATACATTTGAAACCGAAACTAGAGATTGTGCATGTACATATCCACATCAAGACGTATGAAATTAGCTGTTCATCACTAACAATTTCCATGTTATACTGCTACTGATCGTTGAATATTGCAATATTTTCAGACTGAGACATCAAACAGGAAAGAAGATGGTTGCCAAGTGTTCCACTGTAAAGACTTTCTCCGACCACAGTTACAGCAAACGAAAGGAGATATTACTGAAATTAGACGTCATTACATGATGAAAGGTACTGTACTGTACTGCTGTTGCTTAGATATACACACTGTTTTTATATGTTTGATAATTCGTATGTAATTAAAAACAAATATAGGATCAGAAGAAATGAATGGGAAATCTGTTTCATTTGTCTGTATTACAGAGGGTTAAGATGAAGATTTATAAATGTTAACTTTTGTAAGGTGAGGTATGGGACCTTTTGGAGTGTATACTTACTCCTTTATCATGCGGATATCTAGGAAATAGATAGCTAGATAAGTACATGTGAAACAACAACAATGATTAGATGACACTATTGGCATTAAACAGATGAAGATATGAAATTTTAATATGTGACTTTAGGAATGATTGTTTGAGCCCAGGAAACCTGTCATCAGCTCACACCACATCCAAATTCATCCAAAAATGTTCAATACATATGGCCTGAGGTCACATAAGATATAGGGAGCTGCTTGTGAACCTACAATGCTTCTTCAGTAGCTTATTCTCGTGTGGGCGAAGACTCTAAATGGTGTTCATACTTCATGGTGATCTGGGGCGGTGAGGTAGCCTAGTGGTTAAAGCGTTGGCTCGTCACACCGAAGACCCGGGTTCGATTCCCCACAAGGGTACAATGTGTGAAGCCCATTTCTGGAGTTCCCCGCCGTGATATTGCTGGAATATTGCTAAAAGCGGCGTAAAACCAAACTCAGTCAGTCAGTCAGTCATGGTGATCTGAATCTATCCCCTAACACTGTGAGTATACCTCATTTCATGCTCCAAATAAGTGTCTCGGTGACCGCCAAGGGACGACTGTTCCATTCTTAAGTAAGTGAACTGCTGAGATCCCGTCTCACAAGGACGCTCTGACAGGGCTATCTATACCTTGTTTCACGTTTCACAGTGGTGAGGAGAGTGTGACGGGGCAGGCTACTCCTTGTGGACAATGGACTCTTGCTCTAAATGAGCATCAGTGACCCTGACACAACAAGTCATGCATTGGCATCCCTTAGGATGAAGTGAAGTCTGACTTTACCAGCATAGAGTCACATACAAATCCAGAATGTTATGCTTACCCTTTATCACGATTAATCCTTCTTGATATTGGTCATGAACGGAATGCTGAAATATTTTCTTTTCTGAGCAAGATCGAGCACCATATCTAGACTATATGTTAACCAGTCTTGGTCTGTCTAAGTTACACGATCTTCATCCCTATTCCAACGTGTTTAACTGTTGGTCAGTGCAATGTGAATGCATGCCTCCGAGACTGGAGACAAGCTCACGTTCACAATGTCAACGACTTGGGAGTTAAACCAAACATATGGTATCGACCACAAAAGACATTTGTTGACCTAGTTTCAATCATGCCTATCCAACAGCCTAATTATTCAAATGTCTAACCATATTTAAACTTGTGCACATCGTAACAATGACTGCATGCCTCTGTCAATTCTTTGTCCTCCTGTGGGGTAAGTAAGTCCCAAAACGTTCAAAGTAAATTTGAACATACCATTATGTTTAACTGTAGAATATATGTTATTTTTATATATGGCTAAATTGTATAAACTTGCTGACAACTGAACGGATGGTGTAAATCCAGCTAAGATCCATGCAGAAAGTCCCCATGGTCCCTGGTATGGTGATCTACCTTCAGCTGTTGGCAATCTATAGGTTCTTTTTATGTTGTATTGTCATATATAGTTAAAATGTTTTAGAGTTCATCACTAGTTTAAACTGAAATCTGTGATAAAATAGTTATTTTAATGTCCTTCGTTGACAGGGTTTTATAATTTACCTTTATTTATTATGAAATTATAACTTGCTTTTAGTCACGATATGACTGAAATATTGCTGATGTGACTTAAAATCTTAACTCACTCACTCACTGTCAATTCTTCTGTTATCCAACCATACAGCTGTTATCCAACCATTCTGGAATTCACTCATCACTTTGTCGGTTGCATTTTGCTAAATTTGTCCCATGTATCATTGAATGTTATCTCAATTTGTTTCATTTGAATTGTTCCCAACCACTCCCTGTATAATCCCTTATCATTGTATTGTCCCCCGCCGCAACGCGGAACAACGGACTATGTATTTAGCGGCGTACTGCCATACGTACGTCCCGATTCTTGTTAACGCGATATCTGATGAACTGTTGTGTCCAATATCTTCAAATTTGGTGACAGCATACATTGGGAAACCACTTTGACAACTTTTCAAACTCTTCTTAGCGTGATATCTCATGCACCGTTGTACCCAGTGTCTTCAACTTTAGTGACAGCCTACATTGGGGGATTACACAGACACCAGTTTATTTTGGTGACCTTGACCTTATCTTCAAGGTCACCATGACACTTTGCACGCTTTTAACTCTTTTTAACGCGATATTTCATGGACTGTAGTACCCAATATCTTCAAATTTGGTGACAGCCTACATTGGAGGATTTCACAGACACCAGTGTATTTAGGTGACCTTGACCTTATTTTCAAGGTCACCAAGACACTTTGAACCCCTTTTGAAACTCTTCTTAACAGGGCATCTCATGGACTGTTGTACCCAATGTCTTCAAACTTGGTGACAGCATACATTGGGGGATTATGCAGACACCAGTTGACTTTGGGTGACCTTGACCTTATCTTCAAGGTCACCATGACACTTTGCACGCTTTTAAGTCTTTTTAACGCGATATTTCATGGACTGTTGTACCCAATGTCTTCAAATTTGGTGACAGTTTACATTGGGGTATTACCGGTACACAGACACCAGTTTATTTGCGTGACCTTGACCTTATCTTCAAGGTCATCACAATACTTTGACCACCTTTTAGAGGCGATATCTCATAAAATATTGCACCCAATATTTTCAAGTATGTTAACAGCCTACATCGGGTGATTATGCAGTTACCAGTCATTTCAGGTATCTTGTATGTGACCCAAAATTAAAAAGTAGTAAATATAGATATTCCATTCTTTAGCGGCGGGGGACATTGCCATATCAGTGGCAAACACTTTTTCATCCTTTATTCGATGGCCATGAGACCAACTGTACAACATGTGTAAAACAGTAAGGTAACGACATGCATATATGCCTGAGAATGTAGATCTTATTAAATTGATATGATAATATGTTCACAGAGATGTTTTTGTATGACCCCTTGTCTCTATACTTGAAGTTAATTGTATGTAACTGATCCTTATATCAACAGGCGGCGTCAGCATAATTCCAGTCAGTCTGACAGGCCATTTGGTGGACATTAAGGATATGCTACTTTCAGTCCTGGAAACTGATAAATCCCTCTTTCACTGCAACCTTGTCACTGGTGCAGAGCTGGACTTGAGTGATAACGAGAAGTGTTTGGTGCATTTGACAGAATCCTTAGCAACAACACTAGACTTTCCAGTTTCAGAGAGACCTTCTGAAATACGATGCGATATGTTTCTGGCTTTTCCCGAGCAGCCCCATGTTGTACTGACAGTGATGAACTGTGAACATGAATCTAAAATGATAACAAATTACAACACCTCAGTAGCCAGAGAACTGACTGCAAAATTACGTCGTTTCACAATTGAAAACCTTAATGTTATACATGGGGTTGTGAGCAAGAATGACATGAAAGATAACGAGGTGTTCCTTGCAAAGTTACAACAAATTGCAGCAGTGTCTTCAGTATTCATTTCAAAAGCGTCTTTGATGATGAACTCGTTCAAGTATGACCAAATACTTATGGCATTCTGGGCAGCATTAGCTGAGACAAAAGTAGATGTACAAGAGAGTCAGTTAAAATTTCTTAAGAAAGAACAATGCATCCTTTTATTGGAAAATCTTAACAGAATGAATGTCGAGGTCAGGCTTCATTCCACTAGTGAGTCCAATGACCTAATGCTTGAGGTTGCCAGGAGACTGAGCAGACAGGGCAACACCTTGCTGATCTGTAGATTACGGGAGGAGAGGGACCGATTGAGGTAGGTATTATAGATGGGCCGAACTTGTTCTATAGTATAAGCTATCTTTTGTAACACTATTAGCTATCTTGTTCTACAGTTATTTATTATCTTGTTATGCACATATTACCTATTTAATTCTCTAGTCTGTTAAATTGTACATGTTGAAGCATTTTTATAATTTTTACTTAAAGATAATAACTTTACATTTCCAGATCAGTGTTCTCATCGACGATATCATTAAATGATGTCTGGAAGTGGGATCTATCAGCTTATGAGAACATTGTCCTTGATGCCCAGAGTCTGCCCGAGATGCCGAGTGGATGTCGGGTGTGGCGATTCCAAACAGGTAAAAATGTCCATGTCCAAAAAATAATCATACTAATTATTTTTTCTTATCCTAACTCATGATCTTTTGCTTATCTCCTTTCCCTTGCAAATGGTGGTGGAACACTTGAATCCCTTGAAGTTCCCGAAGCAGACGTAAAAATACACTCACCCACAAGTTACCTCTCTTTTGCCCTTTTCCCGCGCAAACAGTAATGTGACTAGCCTTATTTGTCACTATCGATGGTTGGGTGAGCACTGGAGTCCCGCATACGGTATACTACTTAGAGCTCCATGGGAGGCGCCTACAATCGTTGGAGGACAGATTGATGATGCAGCTAAGGAAGTTACACACGACTCTAGAGAAGTCTTGATGATAAAATCCATAGATACTCTGGCCAACGTCATCCGTCATACTTCGCAAAAGTATAACAGCAAGTCCAAATATTCCGGCATGCAGAAAGCAAAGGAGAAAAAGTACTCCAGCTTCAGGGACGTTAGAGGATCTTTTCGTCGCCCATCCAGAAATTACAGAGGAAACTCAGGGAGAGGCCGCACTCCCAGAGCATCCCGAGGAACTAGACGTTGATATTGTGGTTCGGAACGACTGGAGTCTTCCACCCCCAGCCGTACCTGTAAAACAATCGACAGTGGGTGGACGACTACATAGGTACTGGAAAAATTGGGGAATACTAGAGGTCGACTACATCTCCCAAGTACTGCGATAAGGATACATTGTACAACTCAAGGCCACACCTCCGCTAACACTCAGCCCGATGGTCTTCAATTATGCAGAGGAGCAGGCAGACAGAATACAAAAAGCCATCAACTCACTACTTATGAAGGAGGCGGTAGAGATAATAGATCAGCATCATCTCACTCCAGGCTTCTACTCCCCAATTTGTCTAGTACCCAAGAAGAACATCAAGGAGAAGTTCAGACTGATTTATAACATGCGCAAACTCTACAAAGACTATCTACTGAAACCAGAGAGGTTCAGAATGATCCACCTACCTCAACTCAGACTACTCGTTCGTCCACCAGATTACATGATTACATAGACCTGCAAGATGCGTATCTACACATCCTCATACATCTGGAATCAAGAAAGTATCTGTGATTCCTAATCAGAAGGCAGCACTTCCAATGGAACGTCCTACCGTCTGGAATATCTTCGGCCCCGTGGCTATTCACACGAGTAACCAAGCCTATAGTCACATATCTACATCATCGAGGTCTACGCAATACCTTCTACTTGGACGACGGCATTCAGTTTCACCAAAGTGCCAGTCAACTCAGACTACAGATGAACTTCACGATCAAGTTGCTCACTAAACTAGGATGGCTGGTGAACCTCAGAGTTGGAACGAAAACAAGATCTGCAATTTCGGGGGATATGGTTTATCACAACACAAAATCGTATTGTCGTCCCAGAAGATCTTGCTGCCAGACAACCTCAAGAGGTATCTCTTATGGTGGACTCACAGGTCGAACGTTTGTGGAGGGACCTATTTACATGAGCCGGCCTTCGACACACATCTCTACGTAGACGCTTCGATACAAGGCTGGGGTTCGCATCTCAACAATCAAGTTGCATCAGGGGGTGGTTGTCCAAAACAGAACAGCATCTTCACATCTATCTGCTGGAGGTGAAAGCCGTGATCAACGCCTTACAACTATGGTCGAGCTCTCTGAACAACAAGATACTGATGGTCCACACGGACAACTCTACAGTTGCATTCTCCATAAATCGGCAACGATCCACAAGGCCTCAAAGCCTCTTACACCTCACATTCAAGTTGTTCCACATCATGGAGGAAGCAAACATTTGGATAAAGGTGTGTCACATACCCGGAGCCAAGGACGTACTTGCAGACGCTCTCTCCCGACCACTGCACCCCTCACCTACGGAATGGATGCTCCATCCAGAAGCGTTCCTGCTCATCATAAGGGAAATAGGATCCCCTTGCATAGACCTGTTTGCCACGAGGTTCAACAAACTACAGACGTCTGTCTCACCAGTTCCAGATCCTCAAGCCTGGGCAACAGATGCACTGAGCATATCTTGGGAAGGACTAAACGCTTACGCGTTTCCACCCCAATATTACTCCCAGCAGTTGGAGTTGAAGATCAAACAGACACAGGCGCTAGAAGTTACTGTTGAAGATCAAACAGACACAGGCGCTACAACTGACTTTGGTCGCACCATACTGGCCAGCGAGAGTATTGTTCATAGGCCTAATAGAAGATCTCGGAAGTCCAACAATCAAATTACCAGATTGGCCGAACTTACTCATACATCCGCACACCAAGCAAGTCAACGGGAACCCGACAGCGTTCCAGCTACATGCGTGGACCGTATCAAAACATGCTTGAAGAACAGAAGATACTCTGCCAGGGCAGCCAAGGCAGTAACGCTAGCATTACGCACATCTACTTGTAACCTGTACGATGATAAGTGGCTGAACTTTGAGAATTATGCAAGGTGGAGAGGCTTCATGGCGATGCAAGCTTCTCATCCTTAAGTGGCGGAATACCTGTGTCATCTTAGACAGATCAGATATTTGAAAGGTTCAACATTATCTACATACCTTGCTGCCATCAGTACAGTGATTACCATGAAAACAGGCATCAAGTTGATGAAAGTACCAGAATTACTTGCTCTGCTGAGATCTTTTAAACTGGAGTACCAGCGAAAGAAGTTCTGAGCTTCGGCATGGGATCTGAATGTAATTCTACTTCATCTTACCGGTGATGCCTACGATCCTTTAGACCAGACTACCCTCGAATTGCTGACAAAGAAGACTCTGTTCCTGCTTGCTCTACCCATGGCAGCTCGAATATCAGAGATACGTGCGCTGGACTTTGGTCGAACCAGATTCGACACAGGGCAACATGCTGCAGTTTATCTAGGACTTAGATGGGACACAGAAATGCTGTTTTGCCGTTCCGGGGATACAGGACGTATCTAAGGACAGCTGATGACCCACTGTAAGGATAAGAAAAATTAGGCAATCTTTTAAATAAAATTGATATTTATATACTTATCCTGACTCAGGACGAGAGAGCCCTCCCAACCTCCCCACTGGAAACACTTCGGATTACTCAGCTGATCCAAGTACGTGGGCAAATGTAAAAGGGAGAGTGACAAATAAGGCTGGTCACATGACTGTTTGCGCGGGAAAAGGGCAAAAGGGAGGTAACTCGTGGGTGAGTGTATTTTTACGTCCGCTTCGTTCAAGTGTTCCACCACCATTCGTAAGGGAAAGGCAGATAAGCAAAGATCATGAGCCAGGATAAGTATAAAAATATCAGTTTTACTTGAAAAATTACATGTTTTCTCAGACCTCCAATTCATCTTTTGCTAAGACATGCATCTTAACACCAATTGTGTCTGATGTATTGCAGTTACGATTATTGATAGTGAAACTTATGAACCAGAATAATCCAAAATATCAAATGACGCAGTGCAGTTTACATTATGCACTGGTCAAAATGATCCCATGTTAACTTGTTATTTTACAAGAAACGTATTCAATGTTTTAGTGAGTTTTTATTGCAAAACTTTTGTGCACTGGATTTCAAGGTCATTAAAGCGGTTATGACACAATTTGTTTGAGAAAAGACTGCATTTGTGATTCCTAAACCTACATCCATAACTTACTGAAATTGTCATTGCCCATAGTATAGTCCTGGTAGGTTACATTGGAGCTGTAGAGAAAGACCGTAAATATAAACACTGCATCTTAAGATGAAAACCAGTTTATTGCCTGTGAAATAAGGCATTACAACATTGTGTACGTCTGACATGGTCGGATGGTGACACGAAAGTGTCACACGTCACTGGCATGGAACGCACATGGTTTGGCGGGTAGCCAAATACGGGTGACACGTACAACTCTCTACATATAGACAGTGGAAAAGAATCTTCCTCCCTTTTGGAACATGTTGTCTCCAGCATTTACAGAACAAAGGAAATGGCCAATGATGAGAGTCATTGGGACAAGGAAAATAGCCAAACAGAGATATTGGTGAAAATATCCCCAACTCAATTATTTATGCTTTCAATGGCACTTATGTCTTTAAAAAGAAGACCAAATACCAGATAAAAAACCTGGAACTCCAATGAAAGCTTCTAAAGTTTCATTGTTCAAGAAATCATTGAAAGAAATGGACACAAACAATAATGAACAAACCCCAAGTAAATGAAATAAATTATGTACAAGAACTTCAAACAAAAACTTCTTCCTGTTACGATCTTTGACGGATGACGGCCCCAAAGTTTGTCACCCATTAATGACTCTACATTCAGACTGGTCGGGTTCTGAGTCAAGTAGACCTCTCCGATTGCAGAGTGTCCCTCTGGGCAGATGATGCAGGTTGAACGCTGAAGACAGGAGAGACTGTCACATCTGCTAGTTCCACAGTAGTTAAGGGCGGCATTGAAGTCGACCTATTCAGAAGTGAAGTGCTGACAGGGGAGACAGCTGTGTCATTTGCTAGCTCTGTAATCCTTTACTGGCAGCGGAATAGAAACAGCAGCACTTGGAATCAAATCTGTGGCTCTCGCTAGACTCCTCAGTCTGGGCAGCAGTATGATGTCCTCTTCATCCCGACTGTCTTCTTTGGGTCTGTCTGAAGCTTGAAACTTCTTCACCCAAAGTGAAACCGATTTCTTGCTTCTCCCAGATTAGTGTCATTCTGCCTGGGCGTGTCTTGTTGGAGGCAGATTCCAGTGGCAGGAGCATGCTTCGGTGGAGAGTCTTTACTGGCCCCTGACCACTTTCTTGCTTCAATGTGTAGACAGGAATGCCCTTGATGAGTTGTTTCACAACATAGACGTCTTTTCTCCACTCAGTACACTAAAAACCTCAAGAAGCTATGTTGTACGCAAACTGTAGCCGCTAGCGTGTCCTAGTACATGGTTGAATCCAAGAAAGGCGTCCACTGTGAGTCGAGGGTGTTTTCCAAACATGAGGTAGGAGGGAGAAATCGTGTCCTGTGCTATTGTAGGGATGGACGATAGCAGGTACGGAAGGTTTCCTGTCACTCCAGTTTCCAGTCTGGATGTAATTTTCCGTCATACCATTACATTGAGGGTTATATGGCCTCGTGCTTGTCTTCCTTATCCCAGTAAGTTGGCAGAGTACTCTGATAATGTTGCCCTCGATGTTCCTTCCTTGGTCACTGTGGAGTTTAGCCAGCAATCCACACTGTACCAGAAAGTTGTTGAACAGTACTCTCACTGTGGTCTCACCTGATTGGTTGGGAGTTGGCAATGGGTGGCAATGGCGTAGTGAGTAAAAATGATTTGTGATCACAAGGATATTTTGTAGCCTCCTTTTGGATTCCTCGAGCTTGAGATAGCCCAAACAGACAATTCCATGGGCTGTGAAGTGTGGATGCTTACAAGTGATGCAGCTTTCACAGAGGTCTTGGATTTTCGTCAGACACAATTCTCACAGTTCTTGACGTTCTTCTCTACTTCCTCAGACATTCCAGACCAGAAGAACCTTGATCTCGCAAGATGGAGAGTTCTGTCGCGTCCCTGGTGTCCTGAGTGGTGTCATGGAGAGACTGGAGTATTTCCTGTATCTTGTTCCTTGGTAGAACTTGCTGATGTTCAATACCTTTGGCGTTGTTGATTCGCCTAAACAAGATCCTGTCCATGAGAAACAACTTGTCCCAGTCCTGAAGTAATCCTCTCACTGTGGGATCTTCTTTGGAACGCTGAAGTGTTGTGAACGTAACTCCTTCCCCGATTAGGTTGATTACACGTCCAATATGTTGACCACTGAGTTGTTCCTTCTTCCAGGACAGTGGGTACGGAGTAGATGGTGTATTTCCCAGTCTTCTGAAGATAGGTCAAGATCCTGGCTTCATCCTCTTTGAAATTAACCTCGGACTTGATCTTCCTATCTCACCACCTTGAGACCACAGGGGCGTGTCACGCTTAGAAACAGCGTTAGAAAGACATATAGGTATATAGACCCTACCCTAGTACTATATAAGAAGAAAGGGATGTAACAACGGAACCACTCCCTCCTCAATCAAAGTTAGATTTCACCATGTAATCTATTTTTAAGGCCCCGTCGAGGCCTACGGATCGAAAGCGAGATGCTTTGCCTACAAAATGAGCTATAAGTTGTCAGAATCGGATCGAAAACTCACCTTTAAATTCGTTTATTAATTCCAGCCACGTTGACAGCACCTATGTAGGGCTCTATTCGATCGACAGCGGCATTCCACGGGTCTAAAAACTTATTGCAACATCTACAAATCATTTCCTCGACAGTAAGCAGGCATTTGCTCTAAAACCATCGGCAATCATACTCACTTGTCAGCCATAGATGGCTTTGACATTTAAGTGACCTGAGCACTCAGTACGTTTATCTTGTCTTTACCCCAACAGCTGGTATTACGTTTTCAAGCTGGGTAAAATTGATTGTTCACCCCGTGTGGACAATGTTTTCCAGCAGTTCAATCCCGTCCTTAGTCAGTTTATATCTCTTCTGAACTAGACCTCTCTCGTTTTTAATACGCACAGTCCCGTTCTAACTCGTTCTTAACTGGGTTAGCTCGTTTTCATGCAGTTCTTCCCGTTGGCGCTAGTTCTCACTCGTAATAGCTATCACGGACCTTCACGGGTGTATACAAAGAAGTAAGATAAAGTAAGAAAATCAATAAACGTTAAAACCACCCATTATATTACAGTTAGAGGGGGTTTGCATTTCTTGTTTCGTTCTCAGTAGATTATGTATTCTGTATTCACCATGTTCAATATATCCCATTCAAAACAATTTTATTGAAAAAAAGATCCTGCCAATGTTGAAGAACTGAAGATGCGGTTACAGACTACAGAGAAGGTAATTCAGATATATTGTAATTTTCCATGTTGCACACATGGCTTCTGACTGTGAGTATATGAGATCGTGATAGAGTTCATTCATTAATTTGAGGGGCGGTGGGGTAGCCTAGTGGTTAAAGCGTTGGCTCGTCACGCCGAAGGCCCGGGTTCGATTCCCCACATGGGCACAATGTGTTAAGCCCATTTCTGGTGTCCCCCGCCGTGATATTGCTGGAATATTGCTAAAAGCGGCGCAAAACTAAACTCAGTCAGTCAGTCATTAATTTGACTTTTGAATTTGTAGGTCCGTGACTATCGAGTGCTTAGTGTGTCAGTCTCACAATATTGGACTCACCTGTTCAAAGCGCCAACATCAGGATGTGTTGATACCGTCAACGCGTGGATATGCGTCGACTGGGGAATTAGCTCATGTTTAAGATGAAGTGTACGTACAATACCTTGACAAGACAGGGGAATACGTTCAGCTCAAACTTCTTTAGTTACATGACAAAAAATACACAAGACATAAATGAGGTGAGCGGAGTTCCTGCTCAACTCCAGGGCATTTCCTACGAGCGGCATTCTCCTGCTCGTGGTAGTCCCTACAGACAGTCGGAATACCGGACTCGTACTCCTTTACAGTCTAGATGTGAGCATACTCAGTATATCAAGACGAAGGAATACGTTGAGCTCAAGCTTCTTTAGTTACATGACATAAATGAGGTGAGCAGAGTTCCTGCTCAACCCCAGGGCATTTCCTACGAGCAGCATTCTCCTGCTCATGGTCGTCCCTACAGACAGTCGGAATACCGGACTCGTACTCCTTCACAGTCTAGATGTGAGCATACTCAGTATATCAAGACGAAGGAATACGTTGAGCTCAAACTTCTTTAGTTACATGACATAAATGAGGTGAGCGGAGTTCCTGCTCAACCCCAGGGCATTTCCTACGAGCGGCATTCTCCTGCTCATGGTAGTCCCTACAGACAGTCGGAATACCGGACTCGTAGCCTGTTTTTTTTCAATATACATGCAGATGTGAGCACAGAAAAACAATAGCACCTCCTTGACCAGTTGATGTGATGGCAGACATGACCAAGGGGGATGACCAGTTAAGGTTATAAATGTCATAAACAGTAATTGGATGCCTGACAAGTCAATGTACAATGCGGAGTGATATGTATTACATAGAATACAGATTAGCATCATATATATAATTACAATAAAGTCTCACATGTCTTGGGTACATAGTTTTTTTATTTTTTAAATATTTGGACGATGACTGTCCTGAATTAGTCCCTATTACAATACTATACTGTTTATGTGGGTAGAAGGTAATGTGAAGGTGCATCGGTTATCTTTATCTTTCAGGAAGTACACGAGATGGAGAAACAACTCAGTGGTCTGCACAATGGTATGACTTTTAAACAGGTTCCTAAACCTTGAAATCTAATTTGGTAAAAGTTCTCTTTTCATTTTATTTAGGGTTGAGTGCAGAAAGAAATATTGTGCAATTTAACGTTTAACATTTCTGTTCAGATAAGTGGAAAAGACAGATGGAGTACCTGTTCTGGGAAGTAGATGCGTTGAAGTTACTGGATTTGATGCAAAATCTTGATGCTGTAAGTTCTTTTCTTGCAAGTTTGTCTTGTAAGTCTCTCTGTTGAATATATTGGGCATCCGTTAGACCTATATGACATACATGTCTGAGCTATGTTCTCTGACCACGTGTTCTTTAGAATCCTTCCCTGTGTTTTACTGCAGCTACCCTTCAGTTTGAGGAAAACATATCAATATATCAATTTTACGCTTATCATGTTGGTTAACTGCTGAGTGGAAACAAACACATTTGAGCAGCATTGTGCTTGTGGACCGTTTGTAGTGCCGTGTGTATGTTCATATATATATATCGGTGATTTGTGTACATACTTAGCTTGTTCCAAACGCAATCGTGTTTCAAGTATTAGACGTACCTCTTCATTCAATACGTTCGAACTGCAAACAATAATTCGGCCTACCGTATTGGAACTTTAATTCTTAGCACTGACACCAATATGTAAATAAATCATCTATTATCAACATCTATCGCGTTACTGAACTGGTTATTAGTCTATGTCTAACAAAAACAACTTATCATAATATACTTTGAACATTGGCATTTATATTTTCAGTCCAACGTTCTCAGATGGACCCTCAAGGCTGAGCCGTTAAAGAAGGGATTATCAGTTGGTATGCATGCCTTCTTCGCATCAATAGGTGGTGTCCTTATCAATGTTAATGCTAACAGTGACACTAACAGTTTCCTGTAAGGGAATGCTGATTGTCAGGTTGGCAGCGTACATTTTACTGTACACTGTTCAGGTGTATTGTGACTGTGTTGCAGAGGATGAGCAGAGTGATCGGCAGGGTGATCGGCAGGGTGATCGGCAGGGTGATCGTCCAACACAGATGATGAAGCTCCGGGACAGAATTGAAAACCAGGAGGACATTTTTTTAATTTTAAGATCGGTAAGTTGATTGCACAAATTTATTAGATATCATGACATAAATATAACGTACTCGCTCTTTAAATTACACATATATTATACATGTTCAAGAAACTGACCCTTTGTGTGTATCTACATATCTCGTCACATGGTATAGACACAGGAGTTTTGACAATGTTTGGAGAAAAGATAAGTGCAGATATATCTTCTTCTCAAACTCCTTTATCTGCACAAGATACAATGAACGCATTGCTGCGGCAGTTTGTTGCAAAGATGTTATGTGTGCTTTATATACGGGATGTGTAACCTTTTCCACAGGAAATCCTTGAGAATAGGAAGAAGCTTATCTGGCGCCAGGACAGAGAAGTAACTCTTGACAAGGGTATGTTAATCTTTCCGTTGGTTCCTCCTAAAAACAAATCTGTGAATTCGAGTGGGTGGCACTTCAAAGATATCTTTCATGATACACATGTATCTCAAAATTTATGAATGAAAGTGACCAAAGCAGAATTAATTTTCTTGTCAATGTGGCAAGAAGCAAGGATATTCCTTTCAATGTCATAATGCAACAATCATGTATGTCACTGTTGTATGGCACAATACTCGTTTTCTAAAATTGTAAATGGTATTGTTACACTGAAAGAGTTTATGAAGCAGTTATTGTACCAGCTGTAAACACAGGATTTTATGTTTCAAAGATTGATCATGAGCTTGTTTCCAAAGTGATATTCGATGTTCGATTGTAACATAGCAAGGTATGGTATGGATTTACAACTTCTTTATTATTTACAACATGACGTTTCTTGGCTACTTCCTTCCCTTTAATCATTCACCTGATGAGATTCAAGACCATTCAAGAAAACTATGTCACCTACAAATAGAAGTAAAAGCATATGACAGTGGATGGACAGTGGCAAGGAGTCCTCTGCACAGATGATGCCGTTTCCATACCATGTTCGTGTGTGTGGAGACGTCGTGGTGAACGTTATGCGACCTGTTGTATGAGATAGGTCTGTAGTGGGGTGGCGGTAGTGTCATGGTTTGGGGAACCATCAGTGCAATCAGTGCTGATAAGTTAAATTTGATTCCACGAAGAAAGAGATGATCCATATTCTAATACTTGAAAACTTGGGTGTTTGTTTTTCCTTTTTAATTTTTAAACATGGAAAATGGTATCTTAACACTGCATATGTGTCAATATGTTGAAAACTTAGATGTAACCTCCACCAACTGCAATGACATCCCTAACCCAGTCAGAGTCAGCACTGACTCTTTCAGACGTTTAGGTATTGTACTCAATTCAGATTGTGTTCTGATGTATTGTGGTCTGCAGTTAGCGCAAAACTTCCTCTTTCTTGAGGGGTTTTCACTTTTTCCCACGTTGAAAGGGATTGAAAAGAATTCAGAAAAACTGCTGACAGATTGCAGTGTACATCCACACACCAGTGCCACAAGAAAGAGAATGATAAAGAAGAGGCGATCACGTGAACAGGTAGTGGAGCGTACTGTATGCTTCCCAGGAGTAACCCCAGACATCCTTATAAGGGGCATGGAGTGCACGGGCCTAGGATTTTATTTGCAGTTCGTTTCCACTGAGCAGGTCGAATTGAAGAGAGAATACAAGACGTGAGATAGGATAAGTACATAAATATACAATTAAATACAATTTATAGTTAGAATGTCCAAACTGTGCTTGTCGTGGGCGTCGTGGTGAACGTTATGCGACCTGTTGTGTGAGATAGGTCTATACGTGGGGTGGCGATAGTGTGATGGTTTGGGGAGCCATCAGTGTGCATTCTAGTACACCTCTACGTGTTAACAAATTAAGTGTTATTCCCCATATGATCGCCCACCAACACCTACATACGCTACAACAGGACAATACCTGAGCACGCATGGCAAGGCACTCTATGGACGTTTCGACTTGATAGAATATCGCTAGACTTTCCTCCATTTTCCTCAGATTTAGCACACATGGAACACATACAATTGGTAGGAGGATTGCAAAGGGACCCCCGCCAGTCAACTCGAAACTTGTTTACAACGTGTAATACCCCAAGATCTGACGAGACTGGTCTCCTTCTCTCTCGGACGTCAATATGAAGCAGTCATTATGCCAATGGTGTGCATACCAGCTTCTGACATTGTTTCCTATCTTCTTCCATTTGACCTCCATGTCCTTTTGAATGCAACCTGTGCTTTCATTAAATGATTTTTTTTCCATAGTTGTTTTGTACAGTATCACTAGAAAAGCCATCAGAACCGTAATCATAACCAACAGTAAAAAAGTCAGGCTCACCCGCCGTTCTGGAATAAATGTAGCAGAATATTATAAAAAAGTTTTGATTCTCAATAATAAAAAATACGAACTTATTTTCAAGAATATCTATCCCGTTGTCATCTTTAGTGGAGTATTCAGGTGACATATAAGGATGGATGTATACAACGCCCATAAATATATGTTTAAGGATGTGTCTGTGTGCAACTTTGACGAAGATAGTTATATCAGTGACTGGATATTCACTGAAAGCTGGAAGAGATTTTCTTCCAAAAAAAGGGACTGATACACTTTCAGTGTATATGCCAATATTTGCCTTCTTATGGCGTTGCATATTTAGTTAGTCAATGAGAAATATTTCGTGATATCCCTATATGTCTTTAAGATATCAATAAAACAATTAAGAAATGTGAAAACAGTTTGTCATGTCACATTCAGGTTGACCCTTCTCTTCAGAATCCCAAGGCTTCATCAGTTAATGCCAAGTGGTGTGTTAAAAACAGAGTGGGGTCCACACCAAAGTGTGTCAATGTTTGTCAATGCCTAAAATCGACCGAGTGTGACTTATGACACGCCCGTTGTAGCGCTTGTGCTACAACGATTAACTTGGTGTCACGCTGTACGCTGGAATTTGAGGTCATGGGTCCACTTCTTGAAACTGTTAAAAAGTCCATTCTATTGTTCATGACTGATTCCCCGAACTCGTGTTTGTCGCTGCAGAAACATGGAATATCTTGAAGCAAGTACTGTTTTGGGGTTCATTGATGGTTTTGGAGTGTTTCTTGTGACGAGCAGACGAAATCTGAATGGACAAAGTTACATTACTGACATCCTGCAGAGGGTTGTTTTACCAGAATCCTCTAAACACATGTCTAGTGTTTATTGATCACAATGATCGGCCAGAACCTGCACACACCGCAGGCTATATTTACGTCAAGAGGAGACATCAACACTACATATGTGCACCCTGTGTCCAGATCCCAAAGAAAATCAGCCATCTCACCCGCTTAGCCAATGTGGCTTCCACAAAAATGGAAGTCGGACGACTGGTAGTCAAGATGATGGACTTTGTGACAAATGTAAATAGGTTGTTTGAGTGGCATTCTAGAAGTTGAGACGTACAATATATAACAAGTTTTATGGATAACAACTTCTTTATTTTCGTGAGTGCGACGTTTCGATACAGATTCTTGTACCGTTGTCAAGCAAGAGTGAATAGGGTCTGTAAGTCTCGCAATGCGCTATTTCCGTCTTAATAGCTGGTTTATTTGGGGATGGTTATATCGGATTTTGGTATTCCTGCAATGTTTTGACAAGCTGATTGTGTAACATTAACAACTATGTGCGACTTAGATGTTGGAACAAAACAGCATTATGGCACAAGCTGTTAACGTTCCACAGCCAGTTATCAGCAGATTACATTCACAATCCTTACAGAGAAAAACACGTTAGCAACAGACGTCAATCTAGCGACAACTTTCACAGAAGAGAACCGTGTTTTGAAATTGTGGTGAAAATGCCTCTCAAATTGGAGACGCAATTCACAAAGCTACAAGTGTTAGAGTGAGTGAACAGACAGATGGAACCTACCCGATCTGTACATGTTATCCCATGACCAACGGACTAACACATTACTGCAAGACTGGTGTCAAGAGCTGCCGCACTGAATCAAGGTGAACTTTGGAATTCCTTTACCGGCAAAACAGTGTGGCGTAGGAAGGCAGTTTTGACAGTTTCCATGCCGTTAACGTTGGACAGAAAGGTCATTTTGGGGGGGTGGCTAAATAATGGTGTGGGATGTGATCACTGTGACTGGCAGAACACGTTTACATATTATTCTGTTGTACTGCCGTTCCAACATGCCTTCTGCGCGCCGATATGGACGTCATTTGTAGTTTCAGGATGACGACACAGAGCAAGAGGCTCATAGAGTCAGTCGGCTGGTCATGCCATGCCCTGTGTATGCACAACATTCTTTTGAAAATTATGTACATCAGTGTGCATCTTTGATAATGAATGTTTGTATTTCAAATAACATTATGTATGTTATCTAGAGTCCCATGCCAGAAGGCGGTGACTCATGGGCCAACCTGGTGATGTTGACCTTTGGGTAATGTATGTCTCCAATATTTTGCCAAGGTCCGAACCAGTCTGAAATTAAATTGCTAGATAAATACAGCCTTTCATGTCATATTCTCTGGAGTATAACACCATTGTATCCCTGGTGTCAGCATCTTGGATATCCAATGTAATTTGACACTGTCCTTGTTGACACTCCGTGGTGGCTGGGTAGCAGGGGTGCAGAATCTGTTTCCTTTCATCATGACACTTCCACCATCTGGTTCATCTTGAGACGTTTAGAGGATTTAGATCTGGTAATTGAAGCTACAGATTTTCTTCCACTCAAGTTAAACCCATTTGCCATTTCAAAGGCTATCTCAGGAAATTGTGGAGAAGTTAAAAATATTACCTGTCTGCGTAGTGGTGATCAAGACAATTGCAAATATGTTCATGTGTCTGCACACGACACTAAACTCCGGTGGCATCATCCAAGACAACACATTGTCTCTCTGATATATCGTCGGAGGACATTGCTTCAGAGCTGGAATATCAATGTGTTTCAGCAGTGAAACGTTTCTCGATTAAGAAAGGGGGAGTCATCGTGAAAACGATGTATCTCCTGACTTTTGACTTTTCCTCTGGTCCAAAGTCAAAAGAATGTTATTTTAACATCGAATTGGATGTGTATGTTCCAAACCCACTCAGTTGCTATAAATGTCAACATTTCGGCCTTGGATCGCAATCCTGTCAAGCTCTGCAGTATGCCATCGTTGTGGTGATCGCCATGAGGGTTCCAACTGTGAGAAAGACCATAAGTGTGATAAGTGTAATGGCGCTCATTCCGCTTCATCTGGTGTGGCAAATAATGAAACTGAAATGTCAAAACAACAGTTCATGCGTACATGCCAAACAAATGTTGACATATCAGACTTCGATCCACTCTGATGCAATCACTCGCTCTGTAGCAAAATCCTCCATTTTATATCGAAAAGGCTTGACGTGGGTAAATTTAGCAAAATCTATTACTTCATCTTTGGCCCTTCAGATTACTTCCAAAGTCACACAATCTACGTTTGCTTCTTAAACAGAAATTCACAATGGGAAACTATCTAAAACCTCTGAGGAACATGATACAAGGCATAGAGGGCAAAGGTTCGAAATTTCCTGTTCACCATCTGAAGGATGGTGACAGTTTATTGACAGAGAAGGCTGTCATTGCCAATAAACTTGGTGAAACTCTCGCCAAACATTCTTCCTTGTCTTCCTTGTCAAATTCCTTGTCCCTGAATTTCAACAATATCAGAAAAGAATACATTTTATTTCGCATAATGATGAAGACTATAATGAATTCTTTCTATTTCGTGAGCTAAATACCGACCTTGAGCAAGCTCATAATACAGCAACAGGGGATGATGATATCCACTATCAGTTCCTGAAACATTTGCCCGAATCATGTCTGGAAACGCTGCTAAATATATTCACATGATACGATACAAGGAATTTGCCAACTTCATGGCATAATGCCATTGTAGTCCCTATACCATTTTGATAGCCTGGCTGGGATCATACCGATCCATCTAATTACAGACCCATATATCTACAGCTGTGTCTGTAAAAAAGCATAGAACGAATGGGAAACAATAGACTAATATGGTATCTCAAAACTAATGACAAATAATACAATGTGGTTTCCGGGAGAAAATATCAAAGGACTGTTGATCATCTGGTAGGACTGGAATCCTTTGTTAAAAATGCAATAAGAACTAATCAACATTCGGTATCAATTTTCTTTGATCTTGAGAAAGCTTATGAGATAACCTGGAATCATGGCATTTTGAAGGATTTACATTGTTTTGGTTTGAGAGGCCGTTTGCCTCTTTTTAAAGTTTGCCACAGTTTTCAAGTCCTAGTGGGGACAACCCTGTCTGATCATTGTAACCAGGATAAGGCTGTTCTACGAGGCAGTATTATGTCTGTGACTTAATTTAGTAGTGTAATCAAAAAAGGTAGTTACAACTCTGTCTCAATAAAAATTAAAAATGGTCACTTGAAAACGGGTTGTAAGTTTTCAAAACAAAAACTAATTGTATACATTTCTGCAGAAAATATAAACCGCATAAAGACTTAGAGTTATTATTTAACAGCAGCCCCATCAAGTTCTTGGGTCGTATTTTCGACTCATATGTAAATCCCTTAAAGCTAAAGTACTGTCGGAAATGCTAGAAAAATGCTTTTTGACTTACATTTTAAATTCAGAGGTATTACAGTTACTTAAATAACAATTATCACTTTAAGAAACATCTACCTAATGTAGACTGAGGGAATAAATTTTGAGACATGCCCTAAAATGTGTTTTTACTGATGCAAATACCAAAAACTTAACGGGTAGTGGGACGTTATTTGATACAAACATTAATTGCTTGTGTTGCGTCATAAGCATGCACGGTATCGACAGGTGAAATTGACACCTGAGCACTCGCTCGGGGAAGGGGTCATCTCAATAGATGTTTTCTTCAAAATGTTGAATATGTGTACGTATAGTATACGTATTGGTTATGTAAGGGATCATTTGTGTATGTGTGTAAGTTTTGAAATAAACATACGAATTACTGTACATTGGAAAGAATCCTATCACTTGAGTTATCTTATCGATTGATTGTAGAAATGTTCAACGTTTTAATAATAAGTTTGCATGTCAACAGTATATTTCATTGCAAAAATATGGATGTAATTCGGTCAGTTTATTCTAGTTGTGAACATTGGCCAAAGATTTAACGAAGTCACTGGTGTAGCTTCTTTAGAATATATATATTCTTCTTCTCCTAAAGTTTGTAACCGCCCGTGTCAAAGTTGTCAAGGATGGTTTTACGTCCCGGTTTTGCTTTTTGAGACGGACCCTGTCTTGTCTGATTTGTTTACAATATTGTAAACTTGTTGGTAAGACATACCAACAGCTGTTCTGTAATAAACCCTTTCTAAACAATTGAAAGATTTACCTCTGTCTTTTTCAAGCACAAAAAACTTATAAACCTTTGCAACAATTGACTGCAAATAGTTGGCCATAGTGGACGCTGTGATGTGCATGCATGACGGGAAACTTATTTATCAAGACTTAACATGTATATTAATATTTTTTCAATAAAGAAAGCATAATTAAGTAAAGTACTAGTAAGACAAACATTCAACGTCATATTTTTACACCACCTGTGTTAATAGCATAAATGTAAAGACCATTTCAGATTTCTGTTGAACTCTGACAAAATCTTACGTTGTTGTTTTAGTACGATATTATCTCCTGTAAACTGCCCTTTAAATGCATGGGACTGTCAAATAGATTGAAATAAAAATTAGGTACACTATAGGCGAATTGATATATTGACAACATAGTACATTTATCACCTTTATCAAAGTATTAAGGTTAAAAAGCATTTTTCTAGCATTTCCGACAGTACTTCAAATGCACTTGATCTGTTAAAAGTCGTTCCCAATTCTAAGTGGGGATGGGACAAAACTACCCTCCTACACTTATATATTAATCACTCATATTAATCCAAACCATACTACGACTTCAGTGTGTGTAGAGGAGGAATTTAAAAGTAAACATAACACATGCGAATCCCTGTTTACAGATGGATCCAAAAATGGTGGCACATGTACAGTGCCACTGTCATTGGATCCAGAACAATAACTTCTAGATTGTCAGATGACAACTCAATTTTCAGCTCAACGTCAGATTAGCAGCCTTAAAATATATTAATAAACACCCCAAATACAAACAATATATAATCTCTTAAGACGTTCGTGCCTTCAGGCTACTAAAAACTTTAAAATTTGTTAAATATACATCTACATTTAATTGAAATAATCGAGTTATAAAGTAATCTTGCTACTGGCCAATACAACATCTTCCGCTGTTGGTTACCTAGCCATGTTGGAATTTCTGGTAAGGCATTGGCGGATTCTGTGGCTGAGGCAGCACTCAACAAATCTGTGACACCACTTCTAACCCTATACACTGATTATAAAGCTGTGTTTAGGGCATGTATCCGTGATCAAATGCAAAAGAAGTGGAACGCTGAGGTAGGTGTAAATAAGTTACAACTAATAAAATCAACAATTGGCTACTACTTTGGTTGTCAGTACAGATTTGAAGACGTCATTATGTGACCAAGTCGCATGGGCCATACTACACGAATACTTATCAAAAGGATAGGATCCTCAGTTTTGTATCCCTTGTGATGAACCAATCACGTGCAAGCATGATGGCTGTTTGACTGTATTGATTTTTCCATCACAAGGGATAAATATTCAGTTTTAAAACAATGAATGACTTTTTTGACCATGTTCAGTAAGTTAGATAAATTTGGAACAATATGTTTTGTAAATAGATAAATGTATTGATAGATATTGTATTTGATAAATGGTGGTATAAATTTACGACTGGGATTTTTAGTGGCGCAATCCTCAAGGGTGGTTGAAGTAACGTAGAATGATTGGCCTCCTCAGAGGGTACATGAGACTACGTATTTCTACCACATTTATATTCATAAAACATCTTTGGCAAAAAATGTCATATTCCTGCGTTAAATTTTAAACTCACTATGCTGACAATTTTGGAGTACATTCAGCAGCAATCCCACAGTAAACAATTTATTATCTTTTCTGATTCCCTGTCATGCCTTCGGGCACTGCAAAATATATCCTACAGTCATCCACTTGTACTTCAAATCTTACAGTTATACAATGATCTTTCTACTGGCCAATTCGACATCTTGTTTTGGTTGGTTACCGAGTCATGTTGGCAAATCAGTCTTCCCCATGTTGATATCATTATCTGATTTAAACCTTATATCAGAGAATATAGCCGACACTTAATGCAAAAAAAATGGAACACCAAAGTAGTGCTTCATGAAATCAAAACCTCTTTAGGTTATATCTACTTGGGATGTCAGTCGAGACAAGATGAAGTCGTAATGCGATATCTGTTGAAGGGAGAGGATCCTCTGTTTTGTATCCCATGTGATGAGAGAATAACAGTTTTGCTGTAGAGTGTAGAAGTTTCTCTCACAAGGGATACTTTTTACCAAGTTTCAAATTTAAAGGATTTTTAAACAACATATATTTTCATTTAAATCTGGGTTTTGTAAAAGAGATAGGATGCTCCACAGCCTTTGAGTCAATGTATTTTAACTATGGTTGAATAATAATATTATGTATAGTAGTGCAATTTAATGGGGTTGATGTATTGTAAAAAGATTGTCCTCTGATGATAGCAGCTTAATGGTATTGCAGTACTCTGCAGACAACCAGAATTACATATATACATATGTTGACATATTTGAATTAATGGCTAGCTTTTTCTACAACTGTCAGTGACCAAAGTGATGGCTTTAGTCCTGCTGGGGTTTATGCAGGAAGCCAAAGTACTGTAAGTCCACATGATCCCCAGTGAAATGGTCTAGCTTTGGTGACTGGTGGTCTATTGCTCGTATTTTACTGGCATTACCTGAAATATTGATCTTTGTGTTGAATAAAATCTTTTTATAATTTGAAATGGTTAGTTTTTAGGCTCAAACTGTGATAACTTGCTAATGTTTTACTGTCCTTTGTGACAGATATTTCTAATAGATAAACCAATGACATCAAGTGTCATCAAGCAAGATAACATCATCGGACCACAGTGTGTAACACATACGTTGACTCTATCGTCATTAATGTTTAGATCGTCACGAACCATCAGCCGTCGATGTTTCAGCATCTGAACCTAAAGAACTGTTCATTGAAGAAAAGCCTAAGGGGTTCTTCAGGAAGGCATTGGGATCTCTTCGAAAACAAGGTATGAAAGGTCTCAAACAGTTGAACATGTGGGAACATGGATTTTTAAATCAACTTTGAATCAATGTTCAAGGGTGTTTGCTTGAATTTGGAATGTCCTCAGATATCAGTGTGACTTGATGTCATATATTCATTGGGTAATGTCCCTGTTGGTATGTTTGATACCCGGCTCGTGCACGTAGTAGTTTTCTATTGTAAAATGGAATAGCTTGTTCACACACTGCACTTGTATGCTTCATCGAACATCACTTTCAATTATCTGAGGTCATGGTGCCAGAATACTCGCCAAGAAGTTTCAGGCAAGATTATTATTCATATTACAAGCCCGAAAATCAAAAAAGAAACAACGCATTGCATAAAAACAGGAATGACGATCAGCTCTACTTTGTATGTGGTTTGGACACTAACTAATTCTGACCTGGGAACGGACCAAAGAAAGGAAATGCCTCTATGATAGTTGTAGTCTTATAGTAGTCGTTACATGGTGGACAGCTATGATTCTACATCATGCAGTGTGAATGAATACTTTGGCTATATGGATGTTTTCATTGTTGCAAGACTAAATACAGTGTATTAATGTGATTAACTAATCCCATATTTCAAAACAAAGTAGTCAAAATTTACACTCTTAATTGAATATGTTCGATAAATTCATTGTTGTAATTATTTAAAGCCGAATATTTTCCTATGTTCATACCTTCTGTTTTTGCAGTGACGGGAACCCAGAAGAGGAAGAAATATTCTGGACAAAAGCCCAAACAGGTATGTTTGGATTTTTTGGACGTCATCTCAGATAAATACAAGTGGGTTAATTAGTATGAATCAAGGTAACTAAATGCCTCATAATATTCTAACGTAACAATCGTCAAATGTTCCGATGAAGTAAAAAAAATATTCGTTATTCAACCAAGCATTTTATCCCACAGGGTTATCGTAATTCAGAGGTAGAAGACTGTTCATATCTAAGTTCAATGACGTTTGCCTAAACAATAGATGAAACAACTGAATCTGCCTCTGTGTGTGCGTTAACCTACCGATGTTTTATTAGTATTTAACTATCAAACTCATATTGAACAGAAACAATTCTTACGGATACTTCCCTCTCACACTTGATTGCCTTATTTCCTGATACATGTTTCCTGAAATAAAATAAACACTCATCATGTTGTGTAGTCTTACTTCATAGTGGTCTTCCCACGCTCTATCCACTGGAGTTCTCTCCCCACAACGGGCGTGGGGAGACCTCATTAATTGTTCTATATTTCCCAGAATCTTAGATTCTCTTTAAGATTGGTAAATCTAAAGGCAGCAAATATATTTCACCTTTCCCTTTGGGGTTAATTTCTTTTTTTAATTTGTGGTAAGCGTATGTCTCCTCACGATCCTCATGGCGAATGTGGCAAATATGTGAAGACGATGTGTTCGGAGCTGGTGTCAATAGCCTTTAAGTCAAACCCTAAGCCAGATACACTTTCGCAGATGAAGTTGCAGCTCGGAAGAGGATAAGAAGTTTCACAACTTCAGTTTCCTCATGGCACTTGAGGCTCCAGCCAGGCAAGTCCTACTGTCAAGGACCCCACAGGGAGCAGGTCATGCGGGCTCTCAGAAGAAATTTTGGGGACTTGACCCTATTCAGAGGTTACAGGCAAGACCTTCTTGACCAGGACGTTTGGCAAACCTAGACCTAAATCAAGAGGACTTCCCAGAGAGCAATGTCAAGGACTCAGAAACATAGTTCCTTCCTAGTTCAGAAACAGATGCCTGCCTATGCTGGATGTATTCCAGGGCCCAGTGAAACCAGTGGACGAGTTGAAACATGTGGATCCTGGGCAAGGATTCTTCTCTCCGTTATTTCTGGTTCCCAAGAAGGATTCAACAGAAGTCAGAATGATCATCGATATGAAGATCCAGAACCGGGATAACAGAGATTACCAACCAAGTTTCAGATGGAGTACACACAGACGATTCCATACAGCACACGAGATATTTGAAATACATATATCTACACGTACCTATCCATCCAGCCTCTCAAAAATATCTTTGCTGTCCCTTGGAGACTATTCCAGCTCAGAGTTCTACTGATGGGAATATCAGTGGCTCCATGGCTATTTACAATTATAACATTCCTAGAACTGGTGTATCCCCATATACAGATTTTCATGGATATATCATGATTTCCTTTCTCCAAGTGTTGATGTTGACTCTAGACGACTCCCAATATCTGAGAGATTTCTTCCTAGTTCCTTGTGCATCCAGCAAAATCAGAACTTTAGCCCAGGAAGGAACAGAAATATACAGGGCCATATTCAACACTCATCAGGATATTGTTTATCCACCGTTGGAACACTATCAGAATGATACAACCAGTTTATCAAAGTTCCAGAAATCACACTCTATGACCATAGATGTTGCTCATGGGAGCTCTGACATCTATGCAGTATCTAACATTTAGAGGCCGGCTGCATCTCAGATCCATTCAGAATGGGATCAATCAACATGTAGGAAAACAGCTAGACTATGTCATAACACCTACGGATCTTGTGCACAAGGACCTTGCATAGTGGGTGAACTCTGATAATGTCATACACAGTATTCCAATCAGGACGTTGTCACAGGATTCGACATTTCTTCACAGATGCTACAATCAAAGGTTGGGGAGATCATCTATAAGACAAGAGAGCATCAGGGCCCCGTTTCACAAAGCTTTCGTATCGCTACGACTGTCGTACTTCCTATACTGTAACATAGACTTACGACAGTCGTAGCGATACGATAGCTTTGTGAAACGGGGCCCAGGTCTTTTGGGATTTACATTCACCAGTCCATATCAGCATCTGAGAGATGAGAGAGGTCTTATTAGCCATATAACACTGAGCACTAATACTCAGGAATTTCCAACTTCTAGTTGTCACAGACAACACTATGATAGTTGTCTATTTTAACAGACTTGGGGGAGCCGATCTCAAAACCTTATGAAACAAATGAGTGAACTTTACGAACTAGTGGACAGTCAGGATTGCATCACAGTGGCCAGACACATCCCAGGAAAGATAAACATCATTGCATACGCACGTTATCACACCTGGACAACGACAGAATGGACACTTAATTCGGATGCTTTCAGGCAGATAGCGATCAAATAGGAACAGCATAGATTGCATAGATCTTTTCGCGACATCACTCAGCAATCAGTTGCCGACTTATATCAGTCTTGTCCCAGATCTTCAAGCATATGCAGTAGATATCATGCCTTTCCACCAACAGCACTCATACCACAAGTCCTTGTCAAGATCAGCTGTAGTGATCTACCTTCAGTTGTTGCCTATCTATAGCCTGTTTTTATTTTATATCATCTTGCTAAGTTAAAATGTTTATAAGTTAATTGCTATTTAAATGCATCTGTGATGAACTAGTTGTTTTATTGCCCTTCGTTGAGAGGTTTTGTAATTTACCTCATAATTACCTATGATTATTATATACATATAACTTGATATAGTTATGCTATGGTTGAAATACTGCCGATATGACTCACTCACTCACCTTGTCAATAACAGGAACCATCACATGATGATGTTTCTGGTGGCACCAACATGGCCAGCACGATCATGGTTCTCAGACCTACCGTCTCTACTTTGAAGACCAACCACTGCGTCTTCCTCAGTGGCCTATACTTCTCAGACAGCCGAAGTAAAACATGTTCCATCGCATTCTACAACAGCTGAACCTACACGTATTGGAACTATCCTGCAACACCTCACGTCAGCAGGATTTTTAAATGAAGTTTACTCTGCTGTTACGCAAACACTCAGAGCTTCAAATCTGTTTATATGACTATAAACAGTATGTCTTAACAGTATGTTATGAGCATTTGATCTAGAGGATATCCCCAAACAATGCCTAACTGCGGAATTTTATTTGTGGTTTAACGAAACTATTACTACATCATACGTTGGAACCCATGGAAAAAACCTCTTCCTCATATTGCTTGGAAGACCTGATTCCTTATGGCACTGGTCACTCAGATCAGCTATTCAGCAAAGCTTAGATGTTCCATCTGTCCGAACCACAACATGACTCATATTGCTTGGAAGACCTCACTCCTTATGGCACTGGTCACTCAGATCAGCTATTCAGCAAAGCTTAGATGTTCCATCTGGCTGAGCTACAACATACGGGGACAGAACATTAAGCAGAGCAGGTGCTGTACTCTGGAATGGATTACCTGAAAATGTCAGAAATGGAAAAATATCACAGTTTCCGATCTTGTATCAAAACCATCCTCTTCAAACGAGCACTCGACTAAGCGCACATGAGCAGGACTCTGGATATGTAGCGCTATACAAATGTCTGATTTGATTGATTGATTTCATTGATTGACTGGCCAAAGTTTCACAGATTACAGACCAGCATGCCCTGGGTGTTCGATCGGTTGCATTCCCGAAAACCCTTTCAGAGTTGGCTTCATCAACAAGACTCATAAATGAGTCATATACATTGATGAAATTTAGGTGAAAATAGTTTTGTACTGCCACTGTAGATTCCCTCGAAGAAATCAGTTTTAGTTTGTAAACTTAGTGAATTTCAGAATACAATTGTTAACTGCAAACTCTTCTTTGTTGTTTGTTTCACTCTGAAATGATTTCTGGTTAACTTATTGTTCAACATGTAACAATGGTTATACAATCGCTCAACATTCCATCTTGGAGTACTGCATGTCATGTCCTGCAAATGGATGAAAATAGAGATCGGGTCACAAGTTCAGATTACGTTGGCACTGGAGGGGTATTTATTTAGTGGTTGAGGATCACCCTATTCTACCCAACTCAACTGATACACTTTACCGGTAGTACTCTAGGTGCTTGCAGATGCTTAGGGTTTGTGTCACAAAAGTTGTGGAATAACACGTTTTGGTAACAATTTGAAATATCTAAACAATAATTACAGTTAAAAAGGGAGGTATGTCATTCATGCGTAAACAAGATATAGCTACTGCATGTACTTGTTTTGAAGGCTGAATGCTTGTTTGTCATTGTAGTACAGGCAATTGCACAACTCGTATTCAAATAGTAATTTGTTGTGGGTTTTGTTTCAGCCTTTGATGGAAAGTGTTCCACATGCCTCTCTGGTGGACTATGCTTCTGTTACACCATCAATGGACTCACTAAAGGAATCGGTTTCTGAGACATCACTGGAGGATGGTGAATCTCTTAGTTCACAGGACTCACCAGAGGATTTATCTTTGCTCGTCTCGTCAATAAGATCAGGCTCTCAGATAACAACACTGGAGGAAACTCATGAGTGTAAGTGATGTGAGGCTTTGAGACATTGTCCACAGGGCGACTACAATTGAGTGTTGTTTCACATTCCTGATGATCACTACAGTCATAGTTGCAGAAAAGTATTTCTAAAATGAATCTACAAAGTAGGCTAAACTAGAAGTAAGTAGGAGTTCCAAGAGAAAATCCCACGGTCACCATCACAGACGTTATACCATAACAATATGATATTATACAATTAAGAAGCTAATATGATTTACTATTGCGACTCATTAATCCTGACATGGGCAACACCAAGTATCAATGTTACACATTTTAAAACCAGTATCTTAAATTACAGATCAACCTTGTTCTTTTTTCAGGGGCCATGCATTCATCAGCAGAAGGTTGATGCCATTGATTGATTCTAAATTGCCAAGTTCGAATGTCTCAGTAATACTGATGTTGTGTAGGCAGATCATGTTGACTGAAATGGTTAAGACTTATTCTTATTCACTACTTATTTGTACAATTTCCAAAACTAAGAATAGGGGTTATTTGTGGTTCAATCATTTTTCCTGCAGGTTTTGAGGACATAGAGAAGCTTACAGAAGACCTGCATATCGTTGATAAGGTTACACATTTTACGTTGTTAAATTACATTCAGTATACAAAACAAAATCTGCAAAACATGTTTCGAGACATTTTAGGAGATGACACACTATTTTGTACAATGTTTCTATGATTTCTAAGATAATTCGGAATAAAAATCAGTTGTCTTTGTTATTGGAAACCATTGAATAGATCTGTACATATTTAAAACATATATGTCTTTATCAACTGCAGTTGCAGGATTACAATAACACTTTTGTAAAACAATCACTACTAGATACCTACTGGACTCGAATGTATAACCCAGAATACAGACTACCAATAAGGAAGCTGACTAATCGCCCCATTCCCTTGCTTCCTGTGCCCTTCAAAAGACGCACAAACGTGCACATAAATACATGCATACGTACGGATTTTCATACAAAAAATGTGTGTGCGACTTAGGACAGCTAATATTTTCTGATCGTTTCAGGAGAAAGACAACAAAATTATGCAGCTTAGTCCTCTATATACAGGTATGGAATTTGAATACATTCAATCTTTGATCATTTAGCACCTGTTGTAATGTGAAATTACGAATTTGATGTACCATATTCCTTTTCATTCCTCAGCTGAGTGGCATAACACATTACGTTACTTGAACCGGAACATAGGCAGCCTTTCACGGTTGGAAGAGCAACAGCCAAGACTTAATACGGTAAGTGTTGCGTTGGTATCAAGACTAAGGGATGACAGATTTACAACATCACCACACAAAATGACTGTATTACCCAAATTTACTAACGTCAGGAAATACTCGTTTCATCCGGCGGCCATATGAACAACGTTTGAAATCTACGTATCATCTGGCCGTCAGATTTACACACGTTTAAAAGGGTGTTAAAATAAACGAACATTCGACTCTGCATTTACATGTATTTCACAGGTGTGTAAATCTGGCCATTGTTTCCATGTGTTTCCTAACATGTGTAACATATGTAAATGCTGTGATTGTAGGACATGCATTTCAATACCCTTGAAATCTCGTATGACCAGGGTTAGGTTTGTCATATATTTTGTACATGCGTAAATGGTTGGAAATGACTATGTATAGTGTTACAAGATTAGCACTACTTTAACATGTATTTCAATGGTGCTGTAATGTAACTGTCACATAGGGTTCGTTAGCGCATCCGACCACGCCATAATGTACTGAGATAATTAGTAACACATGGTGAAGTGATACCCATGACTGAGCACCACTAATAACGAACGTGTCTTTCTTGACATACACATGGTGTCTGTTTAAAAGGTTCAAATATCGGGTCTATGGGCCAGAGCGATATGTATGTTAGAGAGTGTGTGTGTGTGTGCGGCGAGGGAGAGATAATGGCATGGGTAGGCCCTAGGGTGGGGTGGTGGCGGTTGTCGGTGTATGGGTATTGATAAGTCTTTCTGACCAATAGGTAATATAATTTATACTTTTTGTAATGGAAATTACATAACAGTTTAAATAACTGACCTTAGGTACACTTCTTATACATGCTATACTAGGAGACACTGCTAATTACAATAAAACACAGATCCAGACGAATGTGTTCAAAAAGACATGAACCGGTAGGTCCCTAATTTTAGTGCTCACTTGTATGAGTTATCCGACTGATGAGTTATAACTGAACAAATTTCATTATCTATACTTTCATAAAAGATGATTACAATGTATTAATGATTCCCGGTGTAAATTACTTTTGTAAATGTGTGAACATGCACATACTTGGTGTGACCTCTTTTTGATTCGGAATACAGGTATTATTCAATACGGACGTTTTCTCAAATTTCAGTTACCCGACGGAAAATACTGTAGACATATTTTGTTTCCACCTCTTGGGTAGACTAAAGAAAATTGTAGTGATTGCAATTAGCTCTTAATTTTCATATTAGACCTATTTTGTTTCCATCTGTTGGGCAGACTATAGGAAATTGTAGTGATTGCAATTAGCTCATAACTAAGCAGTTTCGATAATTGTTGAAAGCTTACTACCTGACAGCATTATGTTGCTCATGCGTTTTCTTTTTTGCTTTTGCTTTTTGCTGTCTAATTTGTTATACATTATATAATCATGTTAATCATTTTGGTATCTCAATATCATGGAATATAATATGTACTTATTAATCTATCAAAGTACAGAAACGTATTATCTGTATGCTTTTACTGTTATTGGGTGAAACTGTTAAAAGTACCTTCGTACAGAATTTCGTGGAAAAAAGAAAATGAAAATTACTAGATCAATGGAAAACTAAATTGGATAAAGATCGCAAACAATCATTATTTATATTCCACTTTTTAAATTATCAGTGTGCAGATCATGTCACTAACATAAAAACTGAAGGACATATGGTGACAAAACTGGGTTCAATCTTGAATGTATAATAAATGTACCAACAGTATCAAGGAATGATGGGGTACGCTCGTGGCTAAAGCGTTCGCTTGTCAGGTTAAAAACCGGTGTTTGATTCCCGACAAAGGCACGTTAAGACTGAAAATATATTATTTTGATAAAAGGCAAAAATCTTAATTTCAATTGAAAAAAAGAGACGAAGTAATTTGGACTAACAACATCTATATTGGGGCTACAGGTGCAGGAAGCATCTTCAATTATATAATCACATTCCACAAGTATCAGATAAAGGTTTAAATGACAAGCATATTTATTGGTATCTTGCCAAGCTATATGTCCTCTCCCAATGCAGTATAACCAGAGTGCTGTGGTCACTACCTCGGTGGCCAAATTCAGCAATCCCATTACTTTACAGTATTTACTTACAGGCATATATTGGAAAGTTAACTTTTACGGGTATGGAAAGAATGTGTGGGGGGACACGTGCAAAGTATTAGTACGCTGATATTATCCTTCAAAAACATCATATGTACAACAATCACTTATCATTATGGCATTACAAAAAGGCCATATTTCCAGACAGCATAACATCACCTTTGGCTGGAGTTCCAAATAATTTGACACCGAAAGCCTGTCAGTTAACCCAAAGGAAATAACCCTTGTGTTTTAAAGTGATAGGCACAATGAAGTATAGGTTGCCATGCATTTTATAGTCTGTCTCACAGTCCCTGAACCACATTATTTCCCCTACTGCCAAGCCCTCTGTGCAATGCTAAAGCCTTAAATGAAGCAAGTCTAGATCTCCTCAGGTCCAGGGTCTGTTAACATCTGCAAGAACCCTAACTCACTTTGGGGGTCGGGTTACAAAGTAAACATATCTATAGCTAACTGCAGCCATGGCTAGCCGGACTGAATCTCGTGTCTCCCTGGGGCTCAATTTAAATGGGCTTGTTTGTTACTATCAAAATTATATATATTCAGACACTAAGCGTTAGTCTATGTATTTTCCGATATGATGGAAATACTAATATTGACCAGATACAATTCTAAAGGAGCCTTCCTTAAAGCAGTGACTTAACGCCATACATAGCTAGACTTGCTTAGATGATAGACTTCATATAAGGCATCACAGATATTTCACAAACATGGTACAGGACCCTTAGCCTCATTAGCTTATTGCCTCACCACTTGCGAATTCAGCGTTGGCAGATGTAAATGTTACTGGAGATGTTGGTCCCGCCAGCTGTGGGTGTTCGGTTTGGCTCTCCATAACTCGAACCCTGCAGTGAGTTTTCCTAGAGACGGAAGGGGAGAAAATATCGTTCTGTGACTATGGAAAACCAAAAATGTGGACAACACACCATTGTTTGGGTCTTTTAATTGTAAATATGATTCAACTAAGCTTAACCTAGATTTCGATATCCTCCGAATGTACATTTGGTGTGGAAAATATACGTTTATCCCGAGACAAGGACGAATGTTTATATATAATTAAAAAATGTAACGGCACTAGTATCCATTTTGTCTTTTGTCTTCTACCCGTCAGAACTAGATTAACAACTAGTCTCTGATATGAACATATTTTACAGAAAAAAAGTTGATAGTAAAAAGAATATATATATAAGGGAAAGGAGCCCTGAGACTTTCTCCTGAAGCTGTTAAAATCTAGACTTGCCACATTTTGTAGACTTGCGTGGGCTTCAGGGTCTGTATGACAGACGACGTCCCAACACACACTCAATCACATGTGTCTCCAGGTCACGGAGAATCAGTGGTTAGAGGCCCGTATTGCAATTCTCGTGCATTTGCCAGGCACGTAGCAAGCCATGTTTTTTTCGTGTAA